CCGTTCTCTCTCTTTTTCCTTCTCTCTCTCTCTCTCTCTCTCTCTCTCTCTCTCTCTCTCTCTCGTCCCTGACCTTCCGCTTGGGGTGGCTTGAGCTATACAGCTGCGGCCAGCAGACGCGCGCAGGATTTACTATCACAGGACACTGGACGGCACGAAACTTTTCAGAAACAATGCATCCGCTGCAGAAAGTCCCAGCAGCTATGCTGTCCTTGTCCAGCTTCTTCGCAGGGCGGGCACAAGCTTACACACGCTTCTCGACGAAAGATCTTGCACTTCTAGTTCGCAGTTGTGCGGGGGCCCGGACTTTGTTGCGCAAAAAAATCGAGTTATGACGCGCAGGCCACGGATGAGTGCAGAAGCAGAAAGGAGCGCGAACAAAAAAAAATCCACAGATTCTTAAGAAAACTATACGACAAAACGACGTTGTCTATATTTCCTATTTCCTCCAAACTGTGTTTTGGAAACGTTAACTATGCTAACTCCTCGCGAATTGTTCTGGTCGTCTGAGACAACTGTTTGCACACTTGGTTACTTGCTCGCTATCTATGCATCTCCGCACAGAGATTAGCACCTTTTCTCACGGCAATCAACCCAGTTGCCGAACAATGTTCACAATTGTATGGAAATTGCAAGTAATTTGTAACTGTATTCATAAGGCCACGGCGACTCGACAGTCGGTAACTTATACACAGTCCCACGGGCGCTCGGTGAAGAACAGCGCCACCCCTGCTGTGACGGCAGGGCGCTTAAAACGGTTGCTCGCAGCCAACCGCCGACTATCAGCATGGCTGCGATCGCTTGCGCCGCAACACGTTGGCCGCGCAGCCCCACTGCACGTTCGCGTGCGGGTGGGCCTCCCTGTGACGGCCACCTGTCATTTGTGACGCCCATAATTCTGTCATTGGTGACGCCTGGTCTTGGCAGGCTAAATCCCTGTCATTTGTGACTCGCTCCGCCTAGCACCACTACACATTAGCTGACCCCAAGATGCTCCTAGGCATTGGCAGGCATGTGATTTCCTGTCGAACCAGCTCCTGTCATCCGTGACTTCCTTGAATTTGAATGAATGTTCTTTTCACGCAGCAAGGCAAAACACGAATTTGGAACGAGGCCGGTGAGGAGCCCCCCCCAACATCCGCTGACCTTGGCGAAGGCTATAGGAGAGCGTCTGGGTCGGTGACTGGATTCTCCCACCTTCGCAAGGCCTCACAGTGCTCGGCTCCCCTTTGGGACATGATGCGTTCGTCGCGCGCCAGCTCCGGCGTAAGCACGCGGCGAGCATCCCCGCCGTCGACGACCTCCAGGCAGCATGGCTCCTGCTGCCCTTCTGCGCCGCCCCACGTGCAAACTATTTTTTTTGCCAATCCTTCCCCCTCACCTCACGGCTGATTTCGCAGCGGAGCATGATGCAGCAGTTGCTCGGTGCCACCCTCCTAAAGAGCAAGCCGACACCCCCCAACAGCCTCAACCGTTCAGCTGGCACAGCGCTTCGGCTTCCGCTGGTTTCCTGGTGCGACACCCTGCCCGTCATCCAAGTCCGCGCCGTGCGGCAAGGCGACGGAGCCCTGCCTTGGACGGCCGCGGCTACCCCTGCCCAGGCACATCTACGAGACGTTGATCAGAGGCGCCGGACTGGGCCGTTTTGCTGATCGGCAGCGGACATTGGATTCAGACCGCGGGATACCTCCCAAGCATTGGGCATTCCATCGCCATCATCATCAGCACTGACAGCCCTCTGCTCCCACCGCGCCCCCTACCCCAGACCAGGCCGACGACGTGGCCGGTCAAGGGCCGGCAGCGTTCGGCTGCCCGTGCGTGTGATGAGCGCTCGTACGAGTGACCTCACCCCCGCGTCTCGAGCCCTGCTGCTGTCGCCCAGTGCGCAGTTCCGATTCCATGGGCGGCAGGTTCGGCACTGAGGCAGTGCAGTTCCGCCACCTCGCCCGCCATCGACGGAAGCCGGCCCACCTACGACCTGCCGCCATCACGTCCTGGGTGGCCGCTGGTCCGGACTGCTCGCCGTTGCGGCCCAGCGTGGCTACCCTGCCACACTCCTCGAGCTGCAGGCAAAGGGCCATGCCTGACTTGCACGAGGTCCTCGCCGACGCGCCGCTGGTCCCCCCTTGGACCGCGCCGACCCATCCCCCCTGAAGAAGGCCGCCTGGCACACTACTAGGTCGACGACAGACTCCTCACCGCAGGTTCAGTATCGAGTCCGTCAATGAGTCAATCTCCCCACATTGCTGACGATTCCGATTCGTGGCTGTTGGGCAGGATTTGAGTTCCAGGGTTTAGGGGTTTCGGGTCTATCGTTCAGGGATTTAGGGTTCGTCTGGACCTCGGCTGAAGGGATTCACGGCTTAGTGCATTGCAGTCCCTGCTCGAAAACAGGGCTTATTTACAAATTCTTATATTTCTTATTAGGTCAAATTCTGTCGTTGGAGGGTTTGTGGTTGAAGTGGATTGCTGCAGCCATCTAGCTTCGCGGCACGGACAATCAACATTCATACTTTCCCGAAGCAGCGACTTAGCGTTGTACGGAATAAGCCATACCAAGAAGCTGGTAACACGCCAACCAGTCAGCGCAGCCGACATGCTGCAGAAACATGCTGCAACGTGAAATTCGCAAAATGACATCCAATGTTGACAGCAAGCCACGCAGACAAGTGTGGAATACCATTTAGTTCTTGCCATGTTGCCAGAAGCCCCTTCATAAGGACCTCCTGTAGCTTGCTTCTCGAGATGATGCCTGAGATTTTGCACTCCCGCTATGCAGGCTGCGGCGGCCGCAGATGTCCTTGCAATCAGCACGTGGCCTTCATGACGAAGGGTACTTCCAGGACAGTTACATGCGCTGTGCCAGAAGCATTGCATGGTAGCATGCACATTTTCGTCATCTTGCAGGATTTGCTAGTTGCTGTCGGCCTTGCTAAAAGCTGCACGCCACGAAAGCATGGGTCAGGTGCGACCGCAGAAGAGTTGTAGCCCCGATTCTTGGAGAAGAGGATGCGTGTGCGGCATCCGACAGCCTGCAGGCACTCCAATGAGGGGTCTGCGCCGCATCAAGCCCTGAACTTGGCTTTCATTGTTGGATCTGCAAGTTTTGCAGTGGCTTCGGTTCCCTTAGGACAAGCGGCCCGAACACTCACAAGCTCCCTTTTGGAGTGATGCGAATGCCTTATGATCAAGCTGGATACAGCATTGCATTGACATGTTGATCATAAGGTGGACGATTACTTTGATAACGGCCGTTACCATGGCCGTCATCAACTTCTTCACCATTTGGATCATATCTTTTGCTGTTGAGTGGAAGTTCAACACGCTGCAGGCTCGGGGGATTGAAAGTTTGCAAGGTGACGGTGCTCTCAGGCCTTCAGTGGGCGCACAACAGGCGGTCTGGGTTGGTTCTTTCAGGTCAGTCGCAATAGGCTTGAATGCAAAGAGGTAATGATCGAACGCGAGGGATCTGAGCGCTGGATTCGCTTGGGTACTTCTTCAATCACAACCACAGTCTCATGGGCCATGAGTTTGAGCGACGCATGGATCAAAAGGATGCCACAAAAAATGCACGTTGGCAACAGCATTTGGTGCAAGCGCGCAATGTCTGCAGCTGTCACTTTGGAAGATCCCATCGGTGTGAAAGGACTGTGGAAGTTGTTCACCCGATCGCCTCAGAAAAACGGTGAAGCTCAAGATATCTCAGTGGATCAGGCCATGGTGGACAATCTTGGCGTTTGGTTCGCTATCGTTGGGCTCGTGGCCAAGCCTTCCTCAATGTGCACGAGTTTAATCTCGCTTGCCTCGACTGGCTGGAAAGGTTTACCGGAATTTGCTCTTGCCTGGCCTTATGTCGCAGCCTGAGTTGTGGTGCGAGTCGTGCGGGTCCTTTGATGTTCTCTTGTTTCTTTGCATCTCAGGTTGCACGCTTTTCATTTTCACCTGCGCACCTGCCGCCGGTGGTTCTGGAGCACCTGAGAATAAGGGATTCCTCAATGGGCCGGGAGCTTAATGGAATGCCGAGACAAAACGTCGGGGCGAAAAGGGGCTCGCCGAAGGAATGAGATGCCCGAGTTGTTCACTTTGCAGAACCTTGTCGGACGTGCAGTCGCCACAATGCTGGCAAACGTCACATTCTCATTTGATGATGCGCCGTCTTGTGGATAGTGGCCGTCCTTGTGGCAATTCTTCGCAGGTCACTGGTTATCCTGTTGGCCGCGAGGGGCCGACGGTCCTCCGCATGCAAACCATGATGGCCGAGCTCAGGAGCTTTATTTCTTTGTAGAAGTGCAGCATAGGTCACCATGGGCAGCAATCTGGCTTACATCATCACGTCTGCTATGGCATTGCCATTCGTTCGTCCGGGGCACTTGAAGAGGCGGCGGGTGAAGCATTAATTGGGTAGCACAAGCTGCACGAAGGTCAGTGGGTTGATGTAGATGCACCTGGCTCTGCGACTTCTGCTGCGACGATGATTGATGAGGATTCGGGTTAAGGCTGTTTTACCGAGTCTGGCGTGTGCCACTAGAGAAGTCCGTGAAGGATCGATTTGAGCACGCGAAGCGCATTGTGTGCACTGTTGGTGGAGCTTGTGGTATGGCCGGGGCCTTTTTGCCACAGAGAGTCCAAGGATATGGCAAGGAAAAGATTTGCTTTTGCCGGAGGCTATGCTTTTTGATTCGCCAATCGGAGGTATCGTTTTGACCTCAGACAATCTCAAACCTCCACGGACGTGCAGCATGTAGCTCATTGGCGCGAGGTGTACATGTTTGAGGAAATTACCTCGTCCGCGTGGCCTGTAGAGGCAGCTGCTTTGGCATGCAGTCGACCCCGCTGGGCTGAAGTTAACAAGACGGGCCCGGCAAGATCCTGTGTCGAGTGCATCACGGCCCAAAGACTTCGCGCATACCATAGGACATGATGCAATGATTCTAGCCTCGACACATTGGGTATCATTGGGTACCTAGAACAGTGTCGGAGTGTTTTGGTTCGGAGCTGGGTTGCAAATCCTCCCGTCGCTTTCACAGGTGACCTTCCGGGCATTCGCCGGAACTTGCGTGTGCGCTTTGCTGTCAAGAGCACTGCTGAACATGTGCGGCACTTCGACGAAGGCCGGAAGACATAAAACTTGCAAGGAGGTGTTCTTGTCCCCCTAAACCCTAAACCCTAAACCCTAAACCGTATGGATGTCCCAGGCTTTTGTCGTCTACGAGTGGAACCCGCAGCCTCAGGGTTGGAGCTGGTGGGGCGCCCTCCGCGCGCGAGACGCGCTCCGCGCCGGCGCCCTGCGCCCAAAGCCGCTGCTCTTCGCGTGCTGTTTTCGGCAGGCGAGACGTTCCCTTCTTCATCCTCCTGGCGCGAGCCTGAGCTGCAGGGCTGCAGGGGCTCGCGGAAGCGAGGAGAACGGCAAGTTGAAGACTATTGCAACGAGAGCACACGAGCAGTTTAGTCTTTGAAGGCCTGGAGGTTTTGCACTTGGAGGGTTCTCTTCCCGCGACGATTGAATCTATCCTCGAAGTGTTGGTGTACGTTTTACCCGGTCTTCCCACCCGAGCCCTGACAATTTCAGCTGCGGCGCCTTTTGTCTCAGAGCATGGGATCCCACTGGGATCTAAAACTATGCAATGTTTTGGATTCGCCAATTTCCCCCGACCGGACGTAGAGGGAGAACGATTCATCGAAAAACAAACCAAAAGCTGCCTCGGCAAAGAGGCTTTAGGTCCCATCTGCCTGACGGTTCGTCTGCGTAACTTATTGGGGTTTGCAAAGCGAGATCGCGTGGTCATGCCCGCGCTGCTTAACATACATGGCATTTGTGATCTGTTAGATGCGCGCTTGCATGTATCTGTATATGCAAACAACCAGACGGTAGCACTTGAACTGAAACACTTGCTTGGAGCCCTCGCAACTCGAAGTAGTGATTCCTGCCCCATGTACAGGGAAGGTTGGACCACACCTGGGCAAGGACAAATCTGCCTCCCAGTTCTGCCTTTTTGGTATGTATCATACCACGCACTTTTGGATCAAGAGTCTCTTTGAGCCGTGCCAATGAAAGCACTCCTGGTACACATGTAGTTTGTGCCGAGCATGTATCTCTTCCGACATGACGACGCAGGCGCAGACAGACTTTTCGTGGGCACCTTGAAACAGTCGAGACTCGATGGATGCGTACCTGAGAAGGACATGGATGATTGGAGCACTGTTTGTCATGGCCTCCGGGAGACGGAGCAGAATGCTCTTTGGTTGGATGTGCTGGGACCTTGATACAAAGATGCAGCTGAATATAAGTGGGTAGAAGTGGAGTCCTAAAGGTGGAGTGTAGTTTGGTTGCCATGCCCAGGCTGGAAGCGGCATACGGACTCTTGCTTGCAGCTGTGTAATGCGGGTCATGTGGTCATCGAGTTTCGTTCGCACGTGAGGGTTTGGGCGAGGCGTCAAAGACTGCCAGCAAGCTCTTCATGCCATGCCCGATTTTTTGGGCCGCTTCTTAGTCAGAGACTTCGACTACAAGGCCTGTGCGCATCTGCTTTCAGCACAACCGGATGCCTTGGACATGTCTATTGCATACTCAGGGCTTCCGGCGTGTCCTCGGACATGAAGTTAGTGACGACGGTGACGAGGCCACCGTAGTACGACGAGTGCGGCGACAGAAGCAGCAAGAGAGCCGAAGTCCTGAATCCAAGGAGTTTGGAGCCCAACTCGATGCTGACTTGCAAGCTGTCACGACGTTGATGCTGCGGCTGGTGATGACAATCGCGAAAAGTCAAGCTCTGGAGCCTGCGGATTGGCAGGCCATGCAGGGTCTGGTTTTGGGCAAGTCTTATAGTTTCAATGTCGAAGTGTCGCCAGGAGGCAAGCGCTGCTTGTGGCAAAGCAGTGCGTGCGCCTCTCGTTCTGCCTCGGCTTTGCCACCATGTGACAGAGATTGGATGATTGGGCTCGGTGTGAGAGCATATGTGTCGCGGTAGCACCCAGCGCAGGTACCCTTCCTTCGTGCTACCGCCTGCAGCGGCAACTTCCGGGTGCTTTGAACGATGCCAGAACCTTGCGCTATCTGGAGGCCCACTGTGTCGAGTCATGGGAGGCTCCGAGGTTTCTCTTTGCGGCAAGGACAAATCCGTAGATTGGTCCTTCCGGGCCGTGGGGAATTTGGTGAGGACAAACAAATCCATTCTGGTGTTTTTGCGCCTTGGGGAGGCTGGAGGTGCAGGAGGCCAGGCAGGGAAACCAAAATCAATTTGGTGAGGCCCAGCAAATCCACTTTGGTGTTCCGAAGTTCTGAAGGTTGCAGGTATCTTTTGCAGGTCGCATATATCCTCGGCGAATCAAGGGGAATCAATGACGCCACCCGATCTCTGAAATTAAGGGAAATTTGCGCGAGCCGACCTAGGCTTGGTCAGGCTGTAGCGATTAGCTTGAGGCTGAGCTCTGCTCTGTATCTCCGCTCTCTGTCTTGGCTCTCTGTTCGCACCCGAATCAATGCTAACTGCACTTTTCCAAGTCGCACCGGATGTTGCTACAGGTGATGCAACCTGATTGTCAGTGCCATGCTACGCGCTCGCACATGTTCGCAATAGTCACATAGAGGCTGCAACGTGCAGATCCAAACTCCCGGAAGAAACATTGGCGAAGACGCCCGGCACTTTCCTGATAAGTTTTTGCCACCCCGATTTTGGCAATCTAAAACTTCCGAAAAGCCTGAGCGGTCGGTCTCCTCATGTCCGGGTCGGTGTCGCGATCGATTCAGTCGCTGTCCTGCAGGGTCTGGGGATCGTTGGCCCAGGTCCATGTCGCAGTGTTTTGGTGGCTGGACTGGCCAGTGTGGCATTGTGCTCGGGTTGTTGGTGTGTTCAGGTCTGTTCGTGAATTCAGAGCTGGCCGTCGTGCGGGGTTCAGGACTGTAGTGGAAATATCGAAATATCCAAAGAAGACCCCACTTGCAAAACTGCCAAACGAAGCCGCTGTCGGTTCCACTGTATAAGTTTACACGCCAGCGTGCAAGCTGCCGCGTCCGTCGCATGCGCTTTGACGGATGTTCTGCAGCCCTTCATCAATGTAGCGTCGCACAAAAAACAATCTGACTCGCTGCGGGCGCCCTTCATATCAACCCCTATGGATATGCATGTCCGAAGAACACAGACGACACAGCCATGCTACCAATCGTTCAAAACCCGTTCGGAACTCTGTGTGCATACGCAAGTTACTTCTTTCCAAAGGTTTCAATTTGCAGCTTTCAGAAAAGCCAGAAGTGAGAGGTGAAGCTTCAGCGAACCCTGTAATCTGGTTACAAGCTGGGTGCGAAAGTCGGAACTTATCCATTGAATGGCATGCGCGGCAATCGAGATCCGCAGCCTGTGCTTCTCAACGACACAAGTACAAAGATTCAAAGGTTCCAAGCTGGGCTTGAAGACGAGTAGGAAGACTCCGGCAAAGCTGTTCGAGGCGGTTTGCACGTAGCGTGACCGGCTGACCTTGAGCATCGCGGAGCGGCCATTTGCCAGCGTCACGGGGGGGAGGGGAGGGCACATGCTGCGTGCAACACAAGGGTAAGGGAGCCCCGGATTTTCGTGACTCGGTACCATCTGAAACACCTGTGACGGCGAATGCTCGGGATGATGATCTGGTCAGCTCGGGTCATGTCGGACCTTTGGTTCAGAGCAGACCGCAACGTTGCCTGGTTGGCTTGTGGCTGATGTTGGCATGTCCGGCTCATCGCGCCCATTGTGCCCGGTGGTGCCATTTCGGTTCACGTTCCACGTGTTTGGGGGGGCGGTGCGGCGATTTCCACTCCTGGTTGCCAAATCACACGCATTGCCCGCCCGGTGGACATTCGATCTTGAGCGGCTCAGCTTCGGTCCAGAGGGACCGGAGCCAGTTCACGCATTCCGCAATGTTCAAGTCCGAAATCAGATTTAAACAACCATTCCAATGGACAGTCGTGTCGTAATGGCGGTAACATTCGCGACTGGCTAAAGAGGCTCGAGTCAGGCTGTGCGACCCTACAAACAGGTGCACTGTGACTCTTCCCTCGGTGCTCGGCATCGGATGAACGCGGTCTTCGCATGAATATACAGGCCTGGCACAAGCCGAGTCGCGAAAAGGAGGTAACCAAGGGAAACCGTCGCCTGTAAGGCGTCCCAAGCGAGAATGGCACCAGCATGCACCAACATGACGTGAGCTAAAGCCGTTCCTTTGAGAAGCATCATGATGTTGATGTGATGTTCAGTGAGCATGTAACTAGCGCATTTTCTTGCGTGTAGCCGCGTAGCAGGAATCTTTTGATGATGCGTGTGGCTCCGGGCTTTCTTTCTGCGTGTGCGCTTTGGGAAATTGCTCAAACAAGGGCGCGAGCTGGCTGAGGCGGGTTGAATCCATGGGCATCGCAGGACGACAAGAGCGGACCGAGCGGACCTTTTGACCGTGGCCTGCTCTGACTCGTGCGGCAGGAGGGACAGAGCCTCTTTGAAGGGCGACACGGCATTTCGTGGAGTGATGTCCAGGCCCCCGTGCACGCACACTTGTTGTGAGAGGGTTCTTTCCGTGTGCCGCGCAGGCCCTTCTCGCGAAGGACGGTGATGTTGTTTGTTCCTTCAGCGGGCCTCTGCTGGTACAGCAGGTGGTGCACAAAACCGCGGCCAGCTTAGTCAATTACAAGTGCAAATTGGGGTATGCAGTAGCAGGACCTGCTGTATGTGCATGTGAGTATTGATCGAAGGGTGCTTGTCTTCGGAATCAACTTTATAATTCTTCCCAACGGCGTTAAGATGCAAGCAATGTGTCCGCGACAGCTTTTACTTAACAGACTGGGGTTCACCTAAGGACCTGAGTAGTCCTGTATCTGTCTTGACTTATAAGTCTTTGAAAAGTCTGACACAAGTGCACATAAGTCATGTTTCGGTTCAGGAGTTAGGTTACGATTACAGGTAGTTGCCGCTACCTTTGAAAAAGCTAATTGCTATTCGGAGTTATTTGGACTTGTACATTTTCCTTGTTTCTAGTGCGTTGGGGTTATTTGGAACTATTTTCGGAATTTTGCGCGAGTGGGTGAAAACGTGTCATATTTACTGCCAATCGCGATAGCTTTCGGCGTAAAAGAAGCGACGGCTTGCTACGACAGGTGAACGCATTAGCCTGAGGCTACTGTAGAGTTTTCTTTTTTCTCCAAAACAGAGTGAACTGTCCGTGCGAACTGTGCAAGGCCGACGCTAAAGCTTTAGCTTAGCTACCCCATCTTCCGGTGGTGCTTGCTGGGAGGTGGTGGAAATGGATCGTGCTAGCAAGTGTACTCGAAGGCGTTAATATTTTATGCACATCGGCGGTGGGATTTGTTTGGCGCGACGTGGTAAATGCAGCAGCCCGGGGCATACGCGGGCTCATGTGCGAAGTTGTTGGGTGCCTGCAAGAGGAGCTGGCTAGTTTACAATCGACGATAGCGCGGGCTCGCCTGTGCTGGTGCGAACGGAGAAATTTTGGCTGCTGGCTGCTGCTTTGAAAGCAACAATGGCAGCTTAGCGATCTGCAGGGGTGTGGCCCTGCGTCACGTGCAGGAATGCTTGCATCGTTAATTGTGGCTTCATGCGTGCGCTCCGTGCATCCGATAGCAGAGCCTGAAGGAGTACATGCAGCACCTGAGCCAGCTGCGCAACCAATCCCAGCTGGACCGAACCCAGACATTGTTCGAAAAGTCTCACTGTGCGGCAGCTCCAGGACGGACCTTTTACGATGCGCAACATTGTTTCTTTGCCACAGGTACAGTGAAGGTGGAGCTGGGACTTTTCATGCAAGCAGCTGCAGCAGCGACTGCTTTGCCAACGGCGGAGCTAAAAAATACCTTGGAGAAGCATGACTGGAAAAGCCCCGCGCGCATTACGGCGAGCCAAGTGCTGAATCCCAAAGTCTTGCACTGCGATGGAGTATATCGCGGCAAAGCCTCGAAGACTGTCCGTCTTGCCCTGAGTCGTCTACTTCGCCGAGAAAGTGCCTGCTTGGAGCGACTTGCCCCAGTGCCACCTTCGATCCCTGTGCCGAATTTGCACGTATGTGCGGTACATCAAGCACGCAAAACCGGCCCGGGACATGCTGGAACTGCAGAAGCTGCACCTTCGAGTTTACGAAGAGTGCTACGGCACGGACAAGGTGCGGCCAAAACGCCATTACTCGATGCATCTACCCTTGGCCGATTGCTGCCCCACTGAGAGGCGAAACGGTTCGTTGAAGCAAGATGTTGCACTATGTTGCACCCAGGTTGCCGAAATTGACAGACAGGTTTCGAGCAAGCTGCACTGTTGCGATATGCTGGTTTCAGCTAAAAGATTACTGCTTCGGGCTTTACCACAAGATGCAGAGGGTGGATGAGCCCACATCGTGGCAGTCTGCACGGAATAGTGTTTGGAAAATCGTCGAAAAACGGTGTTAGTTCTGCGCAGTCTCGTTTTGCAATATTGTGCCCCTGGAAACCGGGACGAAAGTTACTTTGTTGCACGAAACTGGAAAAACACTCGCAACTGCAGAAAAAAGCATCTGGTGCAGCAAAAGTGGGCCTGAGCAGGGTGTTTGGATGTAAATGGAATAATTTTTACTTATGTTACAGGTCCCTGTACGTCAACGTAAGCAAGACAGGAGACGACCCAGACAAATCTTGCTATCATGCTGATGGCGCAATGCCGCCGTACACCCCAAACCAGGGTTTCAGGTTTGACTGGGACGCAAAAGCACAAACGCTGCTGGCATTTGCATTCAACAGCTTTGAGTCGTCGTCGTAGTCATCAGCATCACGATCATGATCACAAAATGGTTACAGATATCGGCTCCGAGCTTCTTTGCATGGATCCAGACGTGAACATTCTTGCAACTGTTGCTGACCTAAGTGCATGGGTTGGGGAGGCTGTGCACGGGAGTGAGTTTGTGGTGGGGTCTGCCCCCTGCTGCCTGCTTCTCACCTCTTATCTCCCTTGGTGTCAGGTCATGATCATGTTTTCCACACCTGAGGCTTTCGAATTGCAGCAGGCCCGTGGACGAACAACTGATACCCGAAGACGCAGAGGGTCGATAGAGAGAAAGAGCAAGTGCGTTGTTTTTTGTCTTCAATCTTGCTTTGACCGCTGGTGCTTGAGTCTGAGGCTTCGGGGAGGGGTGGGGAATGGTGGGAAGGCAGGTATGGTGGGGGTCGTTGCATGTTTCCAGTGCTCCCGGGGCGCAAAACAGAGAGGAGAGCCGAGAACTGTGTTTGTAATTAGTAGATTGTTGCTTCATGACTTGTGTTTGCGTGCACTTGGAAGACGTATCTGGAGAGCCCATGGATGATCCGAGTCAGGGATTAGTCAGGAGGGGTGTGCCTCCGGGATGAGGTAAGTTGACTTCTTTGGAGCGCTATGCGCTTCTTGGAGACCTAGTTTGCCGAGGTTGTGAGTATCGTGCACATGCGTGCCTTACGCGTCGCAGCTGCATCACAGTCCTGTTTGGGTGACACAAGCAGACGCGATCGTACGTTGCTGGTTCAGGTTCGTGCGAAGGGATCGATGAGGCTTGTTGCAAATACAGACTGCGCGTCGCTTTGCCAGTAACAGCCATCATGCAGGGGGCCATGGTGCTTTGGGAGGTTGATGCAGGTGCCGGCAAATCAACATTTTTCGAGAATTGGTGCTGCTCAATCCTGCGACAGCAGGCCTTGGCAGCCAGCTGCAGCAGGGCTTGGTCATCGATGGCCACTGGCGCCTACTGGAAAGCGAGTTCTGCCGCAAGCTTACATTGCCCCTGCTTCGCGACAGCGTGCATACTTGCATGCTGTTTCTGACGGAACCGGCCGAGGCTTCATGAGGGGTTTCGAGTGGATCTGCCCCGAGTGGGCGTTGCGATCATCTGACTCAGAGGACGATGGAGGGTAAATGTTAAAGGCAATGTAGATCTCCGTCTCGAGACTTAGTGCAAGTCCTGGTGCCAAAGCGCACCAAACCACCACGCGACCATAGTGCTCAGACTGAAACCTGACAAAATGCACGGTGATGGTCTGTTCGTTTTGCCGTTCATTTGCGGCGGCCACAGTCGATTGTAGCTGAGGCAATTCTTATCGGACCCTTCAGCGCTTTCCACACACGTGCCTGCCTGGCGGTGGCGAGTGCGAGGCTCGAGGGTTTCGAAATGCTGCCCGCGTTGGGGACCCATTGCAATCAACATGACCAACATTCATGTGGCCACACCGCCACTTTGACATGCAAATAGTGCTGTCATGGACACGAGTCGGGACTTGTTCATGTCAAGTGCACCCGGCGATGTTGTTGTTTGGTGGAGCTGCGAGTGTGAGCCCACACACGCAGATGTTCTATCGTTACCTGTCCGAGTGCTGTGACAGGCAGAAGCTGATGTCCAGACTTGCTGCGTATCAGCCATACAACAAAATGGCGGATGCTGTTCTGTACGGTGGGCTCGTGGCATTGCACCCCGTCGAACTATGGGGTGCTTTGAAGCTTTCCTTGTTACCTGCCTGGGGTTTTTGCTCTTGCTGAGGACCTACTCGCTCGTGGCCTTGTCGGTGTTTGCCCCTGTCATGATCGACCTTCCCATCTGTGCAATGATGCGCCCGGGTGCCCGCTTCCAGCGAGGCGAACTGTAAGCACACGGCGCAAGACGCTGCCGAGTTTGTGCGCTACGACTGTGAGGCGTGCGGTGCAATGGACTTTTGAGCACGTTTGCCTCGCCTTTCTGTTGTTCAGGAGGGGAAGTACAACCCCGTCGCATCCCTGTTGCTCACAACCTCCGAAGGAGCTGTGAAGCGCTTGTTTTCCAGGTGGGCGTTGGAGCTTATTTAAAGTGAATACCTGCAGCCCCGAGACACTCAGATGCCAGGCACGATGCCAATGAAATCCATTTTAGGCCAGATCCTTCAAACAGCTGAAAAGGTGTGGAAACAGCAGTTGTTCTTGTATGAGCAGCAGGAACGAGCTGCTGGCTTTTGTGTCCTACACAAGCCTCAACATCGGACTGACAGGTGCACGGGCATCGTCACGATGTTTAAAGACTGCGACCTGTGTGCGTGTGGCAGGCGTGCAAGTGCCGTCCGGTAACTTCACCGGCTCCATGCTGATCGGCGGGTCAAGCGCTGAGATATGCTGAGATCGCCACTGAATCAAATGCGGGTTGAAGCTCTGGCTGCACAACGGTCGGCTAAACCTGGCTTAGGCTGATTGGACGAATGATGGGGGCCCTGGTTCGAGATTACGGCAAACCTGGCATGGCCGTGCCCGAAACTCTGGCGTCTCGTGAGGTCACGATCAGAACAAGCATTCTACGCACTGTTTAAACAGCTGTTGTTTGTTCCGTCACTGAGGTCTGGCGTCTATGCCATGGTGGGGAGTGCTTCGATGCTGGCGGGCTTCAAGCAGATGGCCGTCGCAGTGGTCGTCTTTATCACAGGCGCGTCGCACGTGAGAGTCGGTGGGACCCGACCCGTTGCGTGTTTCTACCGAAGCAGGAGCCGCCAACGATCTTGGGCTGGTGCCACCACTGATGCTGGCAGTTCCCCTCCCGGACTCCCGTCTGACTTCCTTTGTCAAAATCAAAGCCCCTCCTATTCAACTTGAACCTCGAGGTCGCCATCTCGCTGCTTCTCAACAAGCTGATCAACGAAAGAGGCTTTGACGAGGCCGTTTGCCGACTCGCTCCCCATGTTCGGGTTTCACAGAGCGAGAACATGGCAGGAGCAGATCTTGCGAAAGGCGATTGCATACTTGCCAGTGCTGGACTTAAAAGGCCACGCAGCATCAGCGTGGAAAGGGCCAGTCTGACGGGGGAAATGTCTCGAGTCAGTAAGTTTTTCCCAGCGCGAGCCTGTCAGAAGAATTGTTCCAGATGGCTAGCAGCCAAGCCTTTCCGTGCGTGTGTGGGTGCAAGGCCAAGAAGTCTTGGGGTTTCGGGCGGGGTCTTTCACTGACCCGAACAGACGACCTCCAAAAAGGCCATTTTGCCTCGCCCCACGGCTGAACGACAGCTGACGTCATGATGCTCCAATAGCCGTGATGTCGCAGCAAGAAACAACTTTTTTGGCCTGCAAGCTGCAAAGAACGGTCGCAAGTTATTACCCTGGCAAGTAGCACCTGCATGCCTAAGGCAGAACCTCCACGGTTGATGGATCGCACAGTGGCAAAGGAACTATGTGATGACCTGCCGCCAGAGGCAGTACTTGCTCCAGAGGCCGGGCTTGCAAGGCCGTGGAAGTTTACGGGGATTTGTTGGTTTGCTTGAGGTGGATTTCCGGACGATCCAGGCTGCCCTACAACAGGACAAGGCACTGCACTACTGTGTACTACAGGCACTATTTGTGCTCGGCATCGACGGACAGATGCGGACAGGTGGATTGCTTCCCAGTCCTGAAGGAGAGTGGTCACTGCATAGGCCCTTATTGCATCTCAAAGGTGCTTCATACCGGCTGTGGAGTGACGACGCATGACATTGCTGCCCGGGCAGGTTTTACAACTCGCGCACGCTTGCAAGCAGCCGCGGAGGTTTGGCAGGCAAGCGAGCGAGTGCCAGATAAACAGCATGACGTGTGTCACACTTATACAACTTGCACGTCAACCCCTTGTAAATCAGTGGTATCATTTCGGGTGAAAAGTTCTCTGTGTCGCAGGCATCCGGATTTATGGATGCCTCCGATCGGGGAGCTGCTTCGTCCCTGAAGGAGGTCTGGTCATGCTCGAATAGGGATTTTAACACAAGCCCACACGAGTTGGGTCGCCTTGCTGCGCAAATGGAAGTCTGCAGGCAGTGTCTGATGGGGGTGGCGAGCAGATGGGCAAACTGGTATCCGCTGCCGTTGCAAGGTCTCCGCTGAGTTTCCGAGTCGTAGGAGGGTTGTTGTCTGACTGATGTCGCAGGGAATCGAGCTTTACGGGCACCGTTCTGCCAGTCAAGCGCCTGACTGAGCGAGCGCCCCACACTATCCTCGAGGACTCCCATCAACTAGGATCGAGAGAGAGAAAGATAGAGATGCGCTGCCTTTCATGGTATCGAAGAGGAGAGGGAGGGCGATAGAGACAGAGAGATGTGGAGCTTCCGCTGTTTTCAAAGGCAGGCTTGCAGGAATGACAGCCGATGGTCTCTGCAGATGTGGTATGTAGGTGTTGGTGTCCAGTTCAAGTTTCTGAAGAAAGCCTTATAACTTAAGCAGTATGCGTCCACGACCTTGTTTTCGCTTCGTGATCAGGAGGACACATACAGTCGCCAATTCGTGTAGGGTGTTTGACTGGTTCGGGGGAGACACTAACTGAAAGTCCTAAAAAAGAGCTTCGACGAAGCGTGCGATCCGGAACATGGATTGACAATCCCTTCAAAGCCCCATACAAAGGTGGTCGGGGGATTTCGTGAGTTCGGATCCCGCACCATTTGCAAAAGCAACTAGCGAAACCTGGAGCCATAGCACCCGGCGAAGTTCATCTATCCCGACTCCGACAAGGGGGGTCCATCAAATATTTCTTCCTCATCATTTCCGTGGACTTTGGCCCACTCGTCCGTGCCTGTGTCGATTGTAAAAAGCGCTTCGCCCACAAAGAGCCTCCACACTTGACGGCGGATTGCCAGTGCTACTTGACTGTGAAAGCGAAGACCGAACAACATGAGCACCGACAGAGAGGGGAAGATATGCCATATCTGTCGTGAAGGTGTTCCAGGTTTCCGCTAGCAACACGAGCGCTCTGCCCCACGATGCCGTCTCCACGGGGCATCATCCCGTCAACCTCAGGGAAGGACGGGAGATAGACTGAGCGGCATGCCTCTTAATTGACATGGATCACCAGACCTCTGGCAATCTTGTATGACGCCCTGCACAGGGTGATGAGGGGGCGACTGACACAATCAGGGGAGATCCACTTTGTATGATGGAAGCAGTTCGCAACCAACGAAGAGTGCAGAAAACCAACTTGGCAGATCCTTCGCTACTATGGCATACATGGAAGACAAAGCTCATCCACGACCTCGTGTGGAGCAATGACTCGGACTCTGAGAAGAGTCACAGAAACGTGTACTGGGGGATCCGAGAATAACGAGGAGGAGCCACCCGACGCACTCGAGTTTTGGCATGAGGGGAACGACCCGATGCGAACACTGCCTATCGTATATCGGGGACCTCAGAACCAGCCACCTGCCGGGATGGGGGGCGGAACGATCAGACCCACCGACATGATGAATACTGCGAGGACGAATCTACCGATCTGGCTGTCATATCTCACAAGAGGGGGAGGCAGCTGGCTCTGAAGAGAAGCGGTTGGGGGGAACAAGCCCGCCCTGACAGACAAGCAGCACCCAGCCTGACTGACCCATGGAGGAATGACTCACCACTTGAGGATGGCTTCTGACGCAACGGTCTACAGGGGTCGGGTGACAGAAGCGTGGGAGGTGAAAGGCCAGTTGTGTTACAGGGCAGCCCGCAAAAACTGCAGACAGCAAGGCCGTGATGACCGTGGCCGGGGCGATGACTCCGGAACTTGAAAAATTCGTGTACATACAGAAGAGTCTGTGCAACGGAAGGGGGGATTGACTCTTTTTTGGTTCTGGTGTGTTGGTTTGGCTTCGGCTTCCTGAATAGGAACATGAATTATGCCTTGCATGCCCGTGGTGTTCATGCAACATGCGCTCCCGGGGGAGCCTGCAAGCAGATTCGGCAGCCTACGCCTTCGGGCTTCATCGTTTAAGCCACGTTCTACCTTCCATGCAAGATGGAGATGAACAGTTTCCTTGATTTTCGTAGGGGGAAAGTTAAATTCAGCCGAGACTTTACTCAACCCCCGAGTTCGAACATTTGAACAACTATGCCTTCTCAAGGAAAAGTGGGCAGATGCGGAGACCTCCGGCTTTGCCTTCTTCACATATACTCGTAGCTTGCCAATGGGAGCCCCCGTTCTCGCATGTGTTTTCAAAGAAATGAATCCTTTGTGTGCTGTCGCCTCGAAATATCACATGTCTTCATGCACACACACCCGAGTCAACTGCTTTCACATCCCCTGGAAGCCCCTGGTCGGGGTTCATGCCCTAGAGAAGAAGAAGGGGAGAGAGAGAGCTTCTGTAGTAGCTGTGTAGGTGCGTGTTGCGATAGCATTGTCCGGAACATGACAGTTGTGCGAGCGGAAATAAGCTGCGGCACGGTGGACAGACCCGGCACCAGCCCCAGTTGAACCCAGTTGAAGATGAGGCCGGGGGTTGCACATAGATTACAGGGTTGGGGGTCAAGAGGTTCACACCACAGGCTTCACCACTTCTAGAAGCGACCCAAACTACAACAAAAAAAAAAAACAGATCCGCGAGCAGGAGGAGTGGGGTTGGCTCTGCTCTCCTCTGGGCACTTGGCCACTTCCACACAACAGCACGAGTACACGCAGTGGATCAGCAGTGGCAGGCTGCCCCAGACCTGGACCGAGTCTGTTCTTCACCACAAAAACCACCCCCGAATGAGGGATAGTGACCATGCTATATCTGTCGTTTTTGTGCTAGTGTGTTGCCCTTTCCAGCTTGGGCCTCAAGAGTTTTGCAGTCGTAGACCACTCGAAAAGGGGCAGCCGAATGGCATTGAATGTGTCGTACTGCTGTTGTGTTGACATGGTCGAGACCCGGAAGCTGATTGCCAGTACTGTAGCAGCTAGCCGCCGCAGCTGGCCAGGGATCCAGCCGCAATAGTAGAGCGGAGCTGTGTGTTGCTTCTGGAGCTTCTTAAGCGGGGGCTGAGGACCCTCAAGCCTGGTGCAAGAAAAGAAAGAGGGACAAGGTATAAGAGACAGAGTGCCAGCGAGGGCATGAGAGAGTCGATAGATAGAGGACTGGTTTAACCCACATGGTTTGGACATCCAGTCGCGGAACTGGTGCTTCCGGGAAGATGCTTTGTTGCGAAGGGTTCCTGGGAGCACGCCAGGATATGCCTGGACCTCGGCTCTACACACTCTTTGCGAAGGCCCCCTGGCCTGGCCCTTGCAGATCCTCTTTGACCTTGGACTCTGAAACTTTGCACAGGCAGGAGCCAAGGCCGCCTGCGTCATTTCCGAGCGGGGAGAGCTCGCGAGCTCAGCTGGGCTCAGCTGCTTCGACAGCTTCCTTCCTCAAGGCTTTTAAGGGGATCACCGGCCCGCCTCGTCCGAGGTTCAAAGGCATGATCTCCAGGAAGGGTCTCATCGAGACCACGCGCCGCTACGAGGAGGTGCTCGGCGCTGCCGGGGGCGCGAGATGTCTTGCAGAGAGTTGTGGCAGGCCAGCGACGAAGGCTTGGAGGAGAATTTGGGTGAGGATGACGAGGAGCAGAGCCTGGCCAGCTGCTGAGAGAGCATGTGGAAGTTCAGTTCGCTTCCCCTCTCTTGCGGCTCCTCTCGACTAGTGCTGTAAATTTGGGGTGGCAGAGATATAATGCCCGTGTGAATCGAACTCCAACCGCTTCAGGCGGCTTCAGGAATCGGGAAGCTACAGATATAGGTATTGAATATGTGGGACCATTTCAAGCGCACAGAGCTGCATGGAATGTGCCAGTCATGCCCTGGCCGATTGCATGGGGGGGCCTCCCATGCCCATGCTTGGAGAAGTGCACGAGGTACTGGGCGAGCGAACGGACGCGAATGGGCCAAGCCGACTCGGCTGACGTGAGCATACGAAGCTCATGGCTCCGATCCGAAGGCCTAGGGCCTGCCAGGGCCTCGAGGGCCCCAGGTGTGGGGCCTACGGCCTAAGTCTGCGCAGTCTCAAGCTCTGGTGTTGTAGCTGCACTCCCAGCAAGGAGGCCGCTCACGGTAGGAAGAAGACGGAAACGCACCCTAATCTCCTGAGATGGCAGCAGCAGCACTCAATGCTCAAAGGGCTTCGGACAGCACAACTGACTCGGGCAACCGAACCAGGCAAGGTACGGGAACGAGGGCTAGGACAGCACATGACAGCACTGTTTCGTGATAGCAAGGTGCCGCCTTGCAGCGTTTCACGATTCATGATGATATCTAGTCGTTGCCCCTGCCGAGGTTGTCCTGCCCTGATTCTGTCATGCCAGCTATGTTTCACTGTAGTCTTGAGCCGCTGAGCTTGTCCGGACAGAGCTACCGTGCAGGTCGGACAACTCTGAACAACATTAGAGCCGCGTAGATTCTGTAATTTAAATCTAGACTTTAGACAGCCTCAGCATTGGAAAAAGACGCAGCCTTGCCTGTGGTGATGGGTCGTTCAATTGCAGGGTCGGGGCAGTCATCGTCTGATGTGTCATTGCACAGGCACTTGCGGCATTACGGCATCACTCAGTGCGTAGGCAATGGGGCATGGCTATACCGAAGACAGTGAGCTGAAATCGCCCGAGTCTTGTCGCCCAAAGTCTTCTTTAGTCTTTCAGCAGGCCACGGGATTTGCGCTGGAATTTGGTCTCATGTAATGTTGTCGTTGCAATGCTACTCAGCCGGACGGGAGGAGAAAAAGTCTTTGGAAGGTCATGGGCCTAGTTAGCAGCGCTTCTGTCTGAGAGAGAGAGAGAGTGTGTTGTCAGACATTTGTTGCCGACCGTGGCATCATGGACGGCACGCCGCAACTGGAAACAGAAGACTCGAGTTTCAGGCGCCAACATGCTTGTGTGAAGATGTTGCTCTGGGCTTTCGGAATATGAATATGCAAAGGTGCTTTGGGGATGGAAAGGTGCTTTTGGATCCACCGTGAGGTCGAGCATGAAGTGCTTGTATTTGTCGCTTTCACGGGGAAGCCGAGCACACCTGCGCCGCAAGAACGGCTTTTCACGAGCGGCATGCATGTGTGTGTGTGTGCGTTCTTTGTTTTGGCTTTCTGGCCTTCCTGGCTTCTTTTCTTGGCTTGCCAGTTTCTTGGCTTCTTGCTTGGCTTCTGTTTTGTTTTGGTTTTCGATCGCGTAGCTTCCTGCCTTCTTGGCTTCTCGTTTTTGAGTTGGGGGCGATTTCGACTTCTCGACTTTCTGGCTTCGCAGCTTCTTGGCTTCGTGGCTGCTTGTGTCTTGTATGCTTCATACCGCGTGAGGCTCACGCTACCGACCCTTTTCGTGCTACACGCTAAGCAACGAAACAAAGAAGTCTGGTCTGTTTCCAATGCTGCCACTATATAGTTGCATTTGCTAGGGTGTGAAGCCGAATGGGAACCCTCATGCCTTCAGCTTGATCCCCATGCTTCACCAGTAACAGACAGGACGAGACGTGTGATCCAGCTGTACAAAGTCCTGCCTAGTTGCACGCCTCCTTGATGCCGATGCAAGTCGAGCATCTCAAAAACCAAGTTTGGCGGAAGCTGACAGATCGTCTTGTCTTCAGTCCTCGAGACGAAACATCACAGTGTGAGAATCGGCAATCAGAAGCACTGCCGGCTCTGTTTGAGTAGTCTGTCACACTTGGCGGCGCTGGGGCTGATCACTCCCAGAACTTTGATTCCCCTGAAATTGGGGTTGCGCAGTACTCGTAGGGTGCACCAGGCACCGGAGTGGAATATGGCCCCGACTGACGTGCAGGAGGCGCTGCGACCATGGAAAAGGCTAAGGTCGGGAGGTTGAGAGAATAACGGCTCTGATCTTCACAGCAGGAGTTGCTTCCGGGATCCGATCCATCTGCAACCCTCTCATCGAATTGAACCGCTTGTCGACTCTTCCTTTTCTCGACTCGCCATCGACGCTGTCGATAGCTGACACGATCCTGAAGCTTCTTCGGCCGTCATAGCTGAGGCGGCTCGAACCTTGGGGATCTTCTTGGAGCCGGTACCCTGTACTCGAACTCCCCTTTTGAGGGTCTCCCAAAGGCATGCCGTAGATAGCACGATCAGTAGCGTAGCCAACTATGGCTCCCATGGCCATTCCACTTCCAGATCCGGCTTTCCATTGCTTTCTCCCTTGCAAACCACATGCTGCAGGGAGCTTTACAAACCCAACGAGGCCGACCTTGAACACTTTTCCAACCCCGTGCAATTGCTGAACTGGGTCTTCGGTAGTCTCATAGCCCAGCAGCTTTCAAAGGTAATGTAACCTCGCCGATGGTAATGCTTTGGTCAGGATGCCTGCTGACACTCGCCCATGCAACATTCTATAGACCACCCTTGCTGCAACAGTTGTTTCAGCGTTGCTGCCCGTATCTTCAAGTGGCGAGTTCGCTGCGTCCTTGTCAACCCTCCCTCTTTGAAACAACCAAAGGAGGCAAATCACTCTCCTCATCATCCCGCTCTCCGGTCCAAAGAAGATCTCTTTCGGGCACGTGATCTTAGACATCATGGCGGGGCTAAGATTGTGAGCGCGAATACTGAGCCCACGCTGAAGCTGCCATGTGCTTGGCTTTCCAACTAAATTCCCGGCAAACGTAAAGGGTGTGCAGGTTGGGCCTCACTATGACCATCCGTCTTCCAGCCCGCTTTTGTAAGAGGCCAATGGCCTCACTATGACCATCCGTCTTCCAGGCCGCTTCTGTAAGAGGCCAATCATGGAACTTATGGGCTACGGCAGTACTTGACAGCACGAGGAAATCATCGACACTGCAGGTCGTCGTCGCCCTTCATGATCTTCCAAATGCTGCTATCCACCTTTCCCTGAACCAACCTACATCCATCAAAATCGGCTGTTTGAAATGTAAGAGCCCCAAACTCCCCTGCCGCTGCGGAGCACCCTGTTGCCACGCAGCCCCTGGATCCGCCGGGCTTTGGCCGACATCGGCCGTAGAGCCGTAGAGGCATCGCTGGTCGCAGCAACGGCAGACACTACGGGAAACCCAACACAGAAGCCGCCGTTAAGCTCCGTTACCAATATGAATCCGTAAGGACGCAGCGGAGAACCACCGACCCAAAAAGACCAAACAACCCCGCCGGGCGCCCTTTCATCGGCTGAGTCGTCATGTGCCTGCGGTACTCTGCTTCTGCCGATCATGGCAAATATGACCTTGCTGGCTTTCCTTTCAATCATGGTTGCGCGAACAGCACCCTGCAGACACTGGGATTGACACCGACCCTTGGCTTCTCATGCTGAAACCCGCACCCCGGGATGAAGCGCCGCGAATCCATCCTATGCAGTCTCAGGATGTAGACTCCGCTGTTTGCATCTGGCGATCGAACCCACACTCTGCGGTTTCTCCAGGATGAAGCATGCCGCGAATCCATCCGATTCAGTCTGAGGATGCAGACTCCACGATGTAGATCGGGCGGGTTGTGAAGGAAACGGTATTCGGGTCTATATGAGGGCAGATGTAGATCAGGGTTCTCCGGTGGAACGTCGAGTCGATGTTTGGGGTTTAGGGTTTGTTTCGGAGTAAGCGGCCCTAGCAGCTTGACGTCGGGCGAAGTGGAAAGCCTGTTGCAAAAGGGTTTGTTTTGGATTTTGGGTTGCGTTAGGATTTGGGTTAAGCTGTCTTTGTGAGGGCCAGGGTTAGGTTGCTTTACTTTGGGTCGGTTGAGGTTGCATGCATTCTAGTGGAGAGTTCTGTGCAGTTGGTTGGCCTGAGGTGAAACTGAGGGTAAGGCTAGCTTAGATTAGGTGAGGATGGGTCAGGTTATAGGGTTGGGTGCGTTGCGTTGGATTGGGTTTGGTTGGGGTGGGCTGCCAGTGAAGCTTGGCTGCTAGGTTGAGGTTTATTGGAGCATTTTGCTCATACCCTCCCGCCATGAAACGCTTCTAACCTGAAATGCGAAAGTGCTTGAGGCAAAGCATTTTGTCTGCGGCGGTATGTGAGGGAAAATGACTTTCTGGTGGTCTCTGAGTGGTCTCCTAGTCTGGACAAGCCTTGCCTCAATTCAGCCGTCGCTGTCCAGCTGCGCAGGCAGTTTGGCATGGGTAGTCGCAGTAAGAGATTCCGGGCAACAGCACATTCAATGAACCCAATGCGGTGAAAGCTGACGACGCATTTTCAGTGAACTGAAACCCAGCTCACAGTTCATGGCCCAACCCCCCGGCTTCAACCCGACCTGACCCTACCAGCAGAAACCGCGAATTCACCGCACAACCCCGCAGCCCACCCCAACTCGGCCTGAAGCCACCCAGCCTGACCTAATCCAACACCACTCACCTTTGACCCGGAGCGGAGCCGCGGAGCCGTAGAAGCGGAACTGACCCAACTGCACCCAACAGCCGCAGGCCAGCTCCTGAAGGGAGATGGCTCTTCAGCCCGGGCCGCTGTGGGGCGCAGCCGCTGTTTTCGGCAGCTCGTTTCATGCTTTCTGCAGGCTGCAGAGGACGAAGATGCCGCTGACGCCGTGGCTGCATCTATGGCGGATGCAGTCGGGGGAGGGCCGGTCGAGGGGTCCTCGCTGTGGACTGAAGCCAGTCAGGTGCTACCTTCGCATGCGTCCTTCTGTTGGTCACGGCTGGCGCCGCCTTCTCCATCTACTGGGCCGGTTACGATTGATCCGTGCTGCACAGTTGCCAAGCAGGAGAGTAAATGCAGATCACAGGCCCTTCGACCGACAACTCCCACCAGCTACTCGCAAGAGCAGGCCGTCAGGTGCGGAGCAGACGAGACGTGACGAGACGGCCCTGAGAGCTTTGTCTTCTCGAAGGCTTGCGGAGCTCGCGGGAGCCGCTTACTGCTCGCAGGCGTCACTGGAGGTCCCGCTCTCCCAGCCCTTTCCGTCGACTCTTTGCTGTAGATGCGTGCGGGCATCGCAGGGTTGGAGATGTGGCGCGAAGTGCCTCGCCTCCGTCTCGAAGCCAGTGCACGCCGGCCGCCCAGTCGCCAGAGCCTGTTCAGCTACGATGGAGAAGTGTATAGTCTATAGCCTGTGGAGCCCCAAAAGCGAGCCCGCTCACTTGCAGAAATCCCGGCCGCACATAGGGAAAACACAGCTTTTTCACATATCAGGCCGTCATTTCCTGATAAAAAGCAGGTGCGCACTCGTGAAGGTTGCAAACCTGTTTTTTGCGATGGATCGTGACAAGGCGCCAAAGCTTAGTAGCAGCGGCGCCACAGCTCCAGCCACTTCCCACGACACATCGTCTTGTTTCTGCGGGATCGTTCGCTCTTTCATTATCCCTCGTAGAGAAAAACGAGGTGCAAGCCAGTTTCTCGGCCCCAAGATCCACGAAACCTCGCCGCCACCTTCGAATCTCTAGTTTTCGTTGCCCGCGAGGCGCTCCGACCGTCCCCCTCTTATCGATGATTCATGTATATTAAGAGATGAGTAGGACGCCCAATTTGTATAAACCTAAGTTTGTATAAATAGCCTAGATGCACCTATATCGGCTATACCAACCGACGAGACCTCCAACGAAGAACCCGGGGCCGACGCTTTCGGAAAGATTTGCATGGCAGCTTAATTGAATTCCTTGAGTTTTAAGTGCCGCTTAATCAATTGAGTTTCTAATATTCAAGAAGCAGCCGAATTAATTCCTTGTATTCAATGTTGAAATTCTGGTTGCAGCCACATGAAAAAAAGTTCTGGCAGCTTCATTAAATTCCTCATGCTTAAATAGCAACCTCCGAAAACGCTCCTCCAAAACGCTTTTTGGAAAACAGCAAGGCGGGAAAACGCTCCGAAAGCGGTTTTTGCAAACGCTCCGAAAACGCTGCAGGCCTGGGCCTCCTGCAGGGTTTTGGAGTCGGTCAAGCGGGGAAGAGGGGTTGGGGTTTACCCATGGGTTTAGGTTTCAGGGCAGTTTTAGGGGTGTTGGGTACGGGTGTTGGGGAAGCGGGTGGGACCAGGACCTTCGACTCCACAATGAGTATCTCCTTGTGCTGAGTCCGTTTCGTAGTTGAGCGCGGCCCGCCTGCTTTCGGATTGCTGCACTTGCTGCTACTCCAAAGCTACTCCTGCTCTGTGGAAACACTTCTGAAGCCAATTCGTGCCGTTGACAATCCGAGGGCTAGTTGCAAAACGCTTCTTCAGAACGCACCTGCCCAAGGAAACGGTTTTGCAAGATGCTTCAGAAATATTCTGGAAGCTCTTTTTGGTACCCCGACACATTCCAATATGTGGACCTCGGTTATAGGTACAAGATCAACACTGGGAATGTGGATCTCGAGTGCTTGTCGATGTTTCACGGTTCGGGGCTTTACTTTAGAGGTTGCTCAACCAGAGGGATGGAGACAGGGGGCGACCGCCGGCTGATGTGAGACAAACCCGACACTTGTACCCTTGGTGAACGGACTCGGCCGATTCATCCCTCACCCCTCAGCTATTCTCAAACTTGCTTCAAGCAGGTGTGTCTTGGAGATTCCACACAAGCGTTTGTGGCTCGCTTTAAGGCGGAGTTGGGTGCATTGCAGCAAAATCTTAAATGAAGGACATCCAAGCTCAAGCACAGGATGATTGCGTCGTCAGCTTTGAGGGGACCAAGACCTACCTCTCCATGATCCAGGCATGATACCCGGGCGTGTTTGGATCTGTGGGTTTCTCTCTCGCCAATTCCAAGGATCTCCGCATCGCGAAAAATCTCAGTGACTGGAAGACGGGCGGCAGCGCAGGGTTCCTCGGGCTCCACGGGTGTGTTCTTGTTGGGATGAGCATGGGCATGACTGCAAGGTCCACACTGGTTTTCTTGTCGTCGGACACCCAGATGAGGTGAGCTTCGAGGGTGGATACCGAACTGACGCCCTGGCAGGAGTGGGAGAGCCTGCGGAGCTGCATCCAGAGTGCGCTGACAAAGACATGTTCAAGCAAGGGTCTAGCCGCACTCCGAGCATCCAGCCGAGCATGAGGGGGAGGGCAGGAGGGCAGGGGGCCGTCGGATCTTGAACATCCTGAGGTAATCACAGGGCACTCCCTTGGGGGCGCGATCAGCAGGATGCCCAGCAGAAGTTGAACCAGTTTTTTTCACGCCGAGCCTCCGAGGCACCCTGGCCATGGTGCCTTGGAGATTCGGCACGGATTCCTTGCAGCAGTGCGGGCTTTTGCTGCATCCAGGTGGACCTCTCCGAGAAGGGCTGGAGGATCAAAGAAGGCTACACCTTCGGCATGCCGAGAACAGGAGATGCCACCTTCGCCGTTAACTTCGACCACTTGTCCACCTCTCGGTGCGAAAAGAACACTTGAAGCAAAAGCTAGCTGAGGGAGGGGGGCTGGACTCTCTTAGGTTTTTTGGCAAGTTTTTCAGAGCCACATCCTCGGTCCCCTTTTGTCGCTTCCACCATTCCGACGGTCCGATGGCTCTTCACTGAGGTGACGCATCACAGGGATCCAGTCCCACATGTCCCTCCCCAGGACTTCGGGGCTTCCCGGGCTTCCCGCAGCCCCTGAGTCGGCCCGCCCTCTCAGCTGCCAGCAGAGGACTTTGGCTTCCAGCACCTGTCCTCGGAGGCGGCTTGCACTTCAGGGCACAGCTCAGGGCATGCGGCGAAGATGCGGTGCTCATCAGACTTGTCGAGGTGTTTTACGACGGAGACGTAGGTCAAGGATTTCGCCACTGCCAACAGGCTCGCGGCGCAGAGCGCAATCTGCACAGAACGGTGTCTGCACTGCAGCAAGTCCAACTATGTGCAACTCATCATTGCAATCTGTTGATGATGATGTGGAATTT